GTTAGGTCACTAAAAGAATTTTACCTGCTTGCTGGGCTTCAGTGTCAGCTTGCCAGAGGGAAAGCAGTGGGAAACCAGAGGTCAACTCTTCCCTACTCACCTGGTCTGTGCTGTAATGAAGATAACTCACTAGCTGCATGTTATCTCTATACATCATTTGTGCCACATTCAAGATGGTTCTTTCTTGGCTAATTATGTTTAAAAGTGTCTTAACTGTGTTTCCCAAACCAGATTGCTATGAGTGCGTGAGAGGCCCTCTGGAACCTTCTCAGGTATCTTTAATGAGATAGAAGGGAAAATGCAATAACTAAGTTTTGCATTTAGAGGCTTAGTGCTTCCAAAGGTTTCTAGCACAGGGCTGCAAAGCTCAGTAATGTGCATGTTCTTGTTTCCCAAAGTAGCTACTCTGTTACATTAAGCTGACCTGTGAACAAGCATAAAGAAGCTTTTTTTCTTGTAAAAAACCAGTGTAATCAATATATTTCTGCTTTCCCAAACTGTGACTGCATGCACAAAACAAATCAGCATGCTCATGGGTAAAATGCACATTCTGCAGTTGTTACAAACCACTGCCCTTTGTCTGACCTGGTGCTAAACCAGCATGATATACATGGGACCATGTTGTCAGAAACCACTGATTGGGCTTGAAGCCCTCAGAACCACTAAACATGACAAATGTTGTGTAGTTTGAGGATTGTAAATGGGATTTTGTGACCAAATTCCAGTTTGAGTCACCATGTTGTTCTATATTTAGTTGCATTAGGAAGAACTCTTTTTTTTTTTTTCTTCCATCCCAGTCCTGAATTACAAAGCATGAGCTGGCTGGTCAGCTGGACATTGACAGGGATGATCTGTGCTGGTAATATGATTATGATCTGTAAAATGAACCCTCTTTCATCAAATCTGTGACTTGAAACAGATATGCCCTTGCTGAATTTATGATAACAGAGATTTTGGGGACTGTTGATGGTATTTCTTTTTAATCCACACCCTTGAGAGTAGATTTTAAATGATCTGTAACCAGAGCTCTTGTATGTCATGACTAAAATAATACCAGTAGGAATTTGTTTCCTGTCACCTTTAGTTTATCCAAAGGTAAGAGCAGTGGGCCTAGATCTCATTTGGAAGGGTGGAGGGGGGGAAGGTCTGACCTACATCCTTTAGAGCTCGGGATCAGTTCTGCTCCATTCTGTTTCAGCAAAATAAAATATTTCATGGGAGAGTTGTATGATTACTGCATTTTTCTTGGTGAAAGGCAAGTAAGAGGAGTCTGTAAAAGGAGAGAACTGGACTCAGATCTTCACCTGGAGTACTTTAACCCATCAGTCTGTTATGCAGAAGATGAACAAATTGAATGCACATTTATTTGTGTTCATGCAACTAAGTCAGTAAAAGGTACAGCTGAGCTGGCCCCAGATCTCTGTCATTTATTAACAGATTTTGAGATGCAAAATATCTCTAGATAGATAGATAGATAGATAGATAGATGCAAAATTTCCAACCACTACAAAGACATGAGTGAAGCCATGCTTTGGAAGGAACAGAAGAACCTGAGGTACCTCAAACTTGCTAAGCACAATAAACATCCTTAAGTATGAGGTACTATTTATACTGGAAATGGGCGGTAAGTGAATCACTTGTGATTGCAGTCAAACATATGTTCTACAAATGCAGCTGCTATTTCAAACTCCACACTAAGCTCAATTTATAGCTGCTCCTGAATTCTGCAGTCTGTGAGTTACGATATAATGACTGTTTATAGGAACATTCTCTCTCCAGAGCATTTGTTTGCATTTTATCTGAATAGCTGTTTTTTGTTTACCTTCTTTTTCTGGGCCCTGGAAGTGTAACTTGCTTTTGTTTGCCAGTCAACAGCACTGATAATGATTCTTCTCAAGAGTTTTCCTGAATTAAAGAGAAGCAAAAGATGCACAAAGCCGTGCTAAGTATAGCACAACTCTATCACTAGTCATGAAAAGCACTTGGCATTTATTAGCAGTAACATCTAAAAATTATTTCACTGCTGAGTGGAATATTCGCTCTCAGAACAAACATTTTTTTTTTCCTGGAAAGGATCTGGTGACATTTTCTTCCCCTAAAGTTTTGTGTGTGTTTTCTTCTATCTTGGTGCATAACTCCTGATTCTGCCATATGCCTGTCTCTCTCAATACCTTAGTGTACAAAATGAGGCCAAGCCCTGCAATTTTGTTTTTTTTAATGGCCTCTTTTTTTATTTGTTTTCCTAAATGACCACTGAATAGAGTGTTCAGTAGTGTTAGAGGAGAAGAATACCAGTGTCAGGACAGATGATAAACAAGGTTTTAGCTGTAGTGTAATGGCATTCTCAGATATGGACGTGTGCATAGCACAGTGATATTTCTTACATGGCAAAAAGACTTACGAAACATCTTAATGGACTCCAGAAAGAATCACTCATGGATTTCTTTAAGTATTTTTAAGCTTGATATCTCTTAAATATCTAGCCATGTCCAGTTACAATGATGAGACTGATGCTGTATATAAATAATAAGAGATACTTAGCTTATACAGCTGTTAAAGGGAGGAGTTGGTGGGAGGAGTGCTTATTTCTGCAAGCAGTGGCAAAGAAATAAAAGAAGTAGTTGTAAAAAGTTAGCTCTGAAAGAATTCACATTAACAAGAAATCCAGGATTTAGAAGGGGGAGAATAAAAATATCTTGATGTATTCAGGGAAAAAAAAAAAGAACAGCAAGATAACAATGGAGACAGAGATTTTGCTACAAGAGTGTGATTAGAATGATTCACTGGTCCTTTCCAATTTTAATCTCCTATTATTCACTTTAAATATGGATCATGCCAAGACTTATGCTAGTAGCTTCTCAGGAGCAGTCAGCTTTGCTTCAATTTGCATGTGCTTCAAATCACCAAGCATTTGCACTGCTGTACTTAGAACTTTATAACTGGGTTGTTGAGTATAAATTGCTGCTCGAGTTCACAGGCAGCAAATATCTGCAGTCAATCAGATTTATTCCCAGGAATAAAAAGTGAGGTGGAAAGGCTGGTGGAGCCTGTATACAAGGTTGGTGGAAGTGATAAATACTGCCTTCAGCCATAGACTGTGGAAAATAAGCCTAGTAATTTCTGATGCTGCACAGATTAATGAAGAAGTTATGAAGAAGACTCCTCTGGGCAGTTTTATTTTCACCCCATCCTGTAGAACTTGGTGCCTCTGCTCAGAATTTCCATGTATTTTGAAACATTGAACTTCCATTCTGCATCTACATGCTGATGGACCCAAACATGCAGGGTACAAGAAGTACAAATATGGGGCCCTCCCAATAACAGTCTCATATGCAGAGACTGAGGATTAGTAGAATTAGTAGAGGCAGTCACAGATAGTCTGTGCAGGAAGGGCTGATTGCATATAAATGTCCAGATCAAGCTCACAGGTTCACCTGGGAATAACAAAAGGAATGTTTTCCCTGGGAATTCATAAAAAAAAAAAAAAAAAAAAAAAAGAGCTATAGGGGAGGGCTGAATCTAATAATTTCTCTTCTTCTCATCCTCTGGGCATTCTCCTCAGTATTTTCATGCTCCAACTCCTTATTGTGGATTTTCCCACTGATCAGAATTTGGACCCCAACTCACTAAAAGCCATGCTTTTGCATCAGTAGTGTTTGAAAAGTATGAAATGGTCTTTATTGCTTACCACCTTCGCAGTGAGCCTGTATGGCTATCACATTTTAAAATCTGATTGCATTCCTCTGCTTGTAACTCCTTCTGTGAACTGTTACTAATATGTATTTTAGATAAATTAATGTATAGTAAATAAAATGTGAATGAAGCAGGAGGTGCTCTGCCTGACATATTTCTTGAGAAAAAAGCATGAGTGATGCTTGCTGCACCTGTAGCTTTCCCTTTCTGTAACCACAGTGTCCTTGTAATGCTTATCTCCACCTCTCGGTGGCAGGAATTGCAAGAAGGTCCCCAGGAATTAGTGCCGTTGTAGAAAACTTGGATGAACAAGCCTTTGTAAATAATCAAAACCATTTAAAATGCATTAACTCATTTACGTTTCAAACATTTAAAAACAGAGGATTTGTTAGTGAGGAACCCCCTTCTTAAACCCTGATGCATTACTGCTGTTAGACTTGTCTCTAGTTCCTGAGCTCGAGCAAATAATACATTGCTACTCTACAGGAAAATAAAAATTGACCATATTAACTGTGTGATTCCATGCAGTTCCTACAAGATACTATTCTTAGATAGATGGAGATTTGCTGTAAAGAAGCTAAAAAGGCATCAGCCTTGTATGCATCCACCCTCCAGGCTGGCAGGAATGTATTTTAAAAAATTGAGTCTGTTCCTCTGAAAGAGCATTTTGTACATGGAAGCTGTTGGACACCAGCCACACAGGCTGGAGATGGCACCTCCCTGGAGCAGAGCTAAGCTGGTGTACTTTACTTCAAAGCAGCTTCTGCCCAGGGAGGCTGGGTGGCCTCAGAGCACCAACCAGCTGCTCGCTGACCCCCATTCACACCAGGCATGCTTCCTCCTCCTTCGGGCTCAACCCGACCTTCCCTAGCAGTCTCAGGTGCTGGATTTCTAAAAGTAAATAGTAATAGCCTGGTACAGCAGCAGGTCAGCTCAGGCTGGGCGCCTGCACAGAGGGACGCTCAACAAAGAGGTCCCTGGGCTTTTGTACCCTCAGTCCATGCACTCATTCTTCACGATGCCTCCTGATTTTTGGTCTCAGGGGTTCTCTTGTTGCATTCTTTATCTGTGTTCGTGCAGGCTAATTAACCGTTTCCTGTGCCAGTGCCTCACCACCTTCACAGCAAAGACACCCAACCTAAATTCCCTCCCTTCCCACCCGCGCCCGTTCCGGCGCCTCACGGAGCCCCGCCCTCCCCGCGCACGCGCAGCCGCAGCCCCGCTCCCGACGCCGCGAGCGCGGCGGGCGCGCGCGCTTCAAACCGGCCCGGCGGACGCGGCGCATGCGCGAGACAGGGGGTGCGCGCCATGGCGGCGGGCGGCCGTGGCTGGTTCCGGGTGCTGGCGCTCGGCGTGTCCTTCCTCAAGTGCCTCCTCATCCCCGCCTAGTAAGGAGCTTCCCGACGGGACGGGGCGGGACGGGGGCGGGTGGCTTGGGACTGCCGCGAACCCCCGAGGGCGACCGGCCGCGGGCAGCGTGGTGCCGCGGTCCTGAGGAGGCCCTGAAGGTCCATGTGGCTCCTGGGTTCGTGAGGGAAGCGAGGCGGCGCCGCCTCCGCCGCGTGGCACAGCTTTCCTTTCCTCTTTGGAAGCCCTGCTGGCCCGTTCCGGCTGGCTGCTGCTCGGGAAGGCTGAAAGTGTGCTGAAACATTAATGCTTTGTATTTTCAAGTTTTTATACTGAGAAAAACGCCTAACAAATTGCTGTTAAACTTTTCAGTTGGAGCCTGGAATTTCGCATTAGTTGCCCTAAAAAGCCAAGCTCTAAGTAGTTCTTGCCCTGTAAGCACCTGTATTAGTGACTTTTTACATGGCCAGTCATAGGACAACGAGGAATGGTTTTAAACGAAATAAAATGGAAGCTTTAGATCAGACGTCAGGAGAAAAATCTTTACTGTGAGGTTGGTGAGACACTGGCAGAGGCTGCCCAGGGAATCCGTGCATACCCTGTCCCTGGAAGTGTTCTAGGCCAGTCTGGGTGGGGCTTTGAGAAACCTGGTCTAGTGGAAGGTGCTCCTGCCCATGGCAGGGTGGTTGGAGCAAGATGGTCTTTAGGGTCTCTTCCAACCCAAACCATTCTATGATACGTCTTTGGCACAGAGTCACAGAGTTCTTAAGCAGCATCGTTGTTACTTGATCACAGTAGCGCCCTAGAGCTGATAAATAGAGTGGTGGCTTCCTTCTTGTCTGCATGTGGTGATGTGCTCTGAAATTTTTCCCTTCTTAGTGCATGCACGTATGTGACTCTTAACATGGACCTTCTGTAGTTACTCCACAGATTTCGAAGTCCATAGGAACTGGCTTGCCATCACCCACAACTTGCCCCTCTCTCAGTGGTACTATGAGGTAAGGACATGTTTGGGGTGTGTTTTAGCTGTGTGTGAATTACAAGCACATTGGGTATGACAGACCTTGTGAATGCTGGAAGGGATGGTTGGTGATTGTCGTATAGTGGGACAAAAAGATGTGAGTCACAATTTGCTGGCCTTGTGTAGCATTTAGCTAAAACATGAAAGTTAGTTGGGGAAGCTGCAAGTACTTATGAAGGCAAAATGGGAAAAGCAATTAAGGCACCTATTGGAAAGGCTGTGTAGCACCAGAGCAAGTTGCATTGTACTCATAAATTGCTGGTGTCTGTGCTTGTCTCATTGGTGATACACAGTTACCAGAATAAAGAGTGAGTCATGCTAATGGGTATATACATCTTTCCATTATGAAATCAATCACTGTATTCAAATTTTGAGCTTTGCTGGTGTGCTAGTAGCATGCATTGATTTTTATCTAGACAAAACACCTTTAGGTTTGTCATAGACTCAGCCTACCTAATTGGGTTTTAATCTGTCCCCTGGTATCTGCTGGAGTACAGAGATAGATAGATGCTGTAGTGTCTAGTACTCCACATAAACATCCAGAAGTAAAGATTTGTGCAGGTTGGAACTTTGTAGGACTGATCCAAGGACTGTTTTACAAACAAATTTTTATAATGCCAGCATTAACCCTGTGCCAGAACATAGGATGCCTTTCAACAATGCAGCATAATCATTTGGGAACATGCTCACTGAAAAAATACCCCATCCCAGCCTGCTCTGTTCATGCCTCTTCCTCTCCTGTTTCCACAGCCAAGGAGTTAATTCTTGGTCAGGGAATGGCAGCTGTCCTTATGGGAAGAGATCACATAATGCCATTTGGTCATGATATGGTTGTGTGAGAGTTAAGGCTTGTTAACTGATGAGTGAAAGTGATTTTGAGACTGGTTGCGTTGGTGATCACTCCAGTATAGACAAATATTGGCTCTGAGCTGTTTTACTGAGATTTTGTAATAATGGCCCTATTACTGTAAACAGATTTAGAGATAACCAACAGTTATATACTGGTTAAGTGCAGGTGCACAAAAGGCTCTTTAATCTTTTCCTGCTGATCAGGAAATGTCACATCTCTACCAGTACTGCAGGAGAACAGCTTACAGCACCACAGAGTGGCTGCTGATTGTGGAGTGTTTGAGTTACAGAGAGGGTACTGAGGGAAAATGCATTGGCTGGTTTGCTGCAGTGAGCTGTACCTGAAGGACTGCACACAGCATGGTTTGTTATCAACTATTTAATCTTATTTTGTCTTTAGGCGACCTCGGAATGGACCCTGGATTATCCACCATTTTTTGCTTGGTTTGAATATGTGCTTTCTCACATTGCCAAGTACTTTGACCCCCAGATGTTGGTTGTTGAAAACTTGAATTACACCAGTCGTGCAACTGTCTTCTTCCAAAGGCTTTCTGTCATCTTTACAGATACCCTCTTCATATATGCAGTTCATGAGTAAGTCTTAATCTTCTGATTTTAGGGACAGTGGATAGGCCTTCATATTGGGCTTGTTCTGTAGCCACAACAAATAACTATTTGTACAAATAAGCTTGTAAAGGAAGGGAAATGCCAGAGTTGCTTGAACCTGTTCAAGGAGAATCTTGGAATACGCTGCTAAACACAAGATAATGTGTTCTTCTTGGAGATACAGTTGCACTGCATGTGATGGGTTTGCAGGCACTTGGACACCAGCTGCTGTTTCATGTGTTGTACTTGGGTTTGCTTCTGTCACTGAGCTCCTTTTGTAGGAGTTGCAGGACAGCTGGTGTGCTCAGAACAAGTTTTTTCCTGTTACTTTTCTGATTACTCTGTTTTTCTAGAAACATAAAGGAAATCTGTCAGAAAATGGCAGTATCATCAAATATGCAAAGTTTCTCTAGTGTTTTGATGATAAACTGATTATTCCAAGTCTGATGGAATTAGGATTGGATGCTTTCAGTGAGGCCTGACTTTATGAAGAATTACTTCCCTTATCCCTAAAGAGTAGAGTGGGAGTGTGTTCTGAGAAATACATCGCCTACCTTAATGATTTGGCTGTAAGAGTCTCCCATCATTTTATTCTTTCTGCTCAAAACCTGGGTAGGAAATTCTCTGATTAGAGCCTTGCCTAAACTCCTGTATTTACTTTCTTTATGCAACTAGCTTTGCATTATGATTTCTTTTCCTTTTATTGTTTGACTCACAGACATATGAATGTAAGGCTGAAGGCTCAGGGCTGGTGTCTGCACATGGTCATTTTGCCAAGAGAGGTGGTGTATGCCCTCTGCCTGGAAAATTTCAAGGCCAGGTGGGATGGGGGTTTGAGCAACCCAGTCTAGTGGAAGGTGTTCTGCTCATGGCAGGGAGGTGCATTTCAACACAGCATTTCAACACAAATGATCTATAACATTTTTATGTGATTTAAGACTGCTTTCAGAAGTCAGATGAACCATATTGCTTCACACTGAGAAGTAATAAGTTGTTTTTAACCAACAGAAATAACTCATAATATAGCAGGGGGCAGCAGTAGCCAGGGAGAGGTTATGTCCAGCTGAGGACCTTAACTACAGCTCCCTCTGTTGTTTCCAGAAGTAGCAATCCACTGCTCATGATGGCAAGCAGGCTGTGACAGCTTTACACTTTCTGAGTGGGAGACTTGATCCTGAGGCAGTTATGTAATAGAAGCTTTAGCATGTGGAACACACCACAGCTATTGAAATTGAAAATCCTTTTTGTACTAAACTTTGTTCATTACACTGTCTGCCTTTGATGAATTTAGCAAGACTTTTATTGTTGCCTTGCATCTTGATAAAATGGCAAACTTCAGCTCTTAACTCTTATAACCAACAATGTTTTTGCTTGTATGCTTGAATTAAAGCTTCTGTTTCTTCTGCTCTTGTTTAGGTGCTGCAGATGTATAAATGGAAAACGAGCTGCAAAGGATATCCTGGAAAAACCAACATTTATTCTTGCTGTTCTGCTCTTGTGGAATTTTGGGTTGTTAATTGTGGATCGTATCCTTTCCAACCGTTGTGGGTTGTTTGTGGTTTGTTTGGTTTTTTAACAACCTCTTACAGTGTGTGGCACAATCCTATATTATTATTGCTGTCATAGCAAGTTACACAGCTGGGTTTGTTTCTGGGATTAGTTAAATAACTTTGTTTTCATTAGAATTACTGTTTGGCAAAATAGAAGTTAGTCTGTCCTTGGTCTGATTTGCCAGAAGTGGAGGAGGACCAACCAGTCTGGCAGCAGTGTGCCTGTTCTGCTGGCTGTTCCTCCTCTGCACACCTACAGGAGTATTAGCAGAGTGGTTCTGTGTCCTGGGTGTGGTTCCAAGTTTGTCCTGTGGCAAGGAAAATCTTCAAAGTGTTTTAAGATTCAGAATGTATTCAATTTGTTTAACTTTATTTGGGAATTAGGAAGTCTTTCTAAAGAACAGTCATGGAATTGTAGAGTGGTTTGGTTTGGACAGGACCTTAAACATCATTTAGTTCCAACCCCTTGCCTTAGCAGGAACACCTTCCATTAGACCAGGTTGCTCAAAGCCTCATTCAACCTGACCTGACCTTCCAGGAATGGGGCATCCACAACTTCTCTGGGCAACCTGTGCCAGTCCCTCATCACTCTCACAATAAAGAATTTCTTCCTAATATCCACTCTAAATCTCTCTTTTTTTAGTTTCAAACCATCCCGCTTGCCCTGTCATTCCATGCCCTTGTCAAAAGTCCCTGTCCAGCTCTCTTAGAGCACCTTCCAAAGCAGCTGCATGTTCTCCCCAGTGTCTTCTCTTTTCCAGGCTGAAATAACCCCAACTATCTCAGCCTGTCTCCATAGCAGAGGTGCTCCAGTCCTCTGAGGATCTTCCTGGCTTTCTCTGAATGCCTTCCAATAGGTCCATATCGTGTGTAAAAATAACTCTGGAAATTGCAGTTCCTGCAAGTCAGTCTTGGCACAGTGTGCATTTAAAGGAGGACTTCATTTTCTCTGTCATAGTTCTTGTGTACGTTGCATATACATGTATATTTTTTGTGTATATTACATACACTTAGAAGTGGTAGAAAAATGAGGGCTGTTGTCACTATGCATTAACCAATGTGTGGCAGAAACTAATAACTTTAAAATTAAAGTGGAGATTTAGCCTTTTTTACTTTATATTACAAAATTTGCACAATATATGTGTTGATTGTTTTGTTTCATTTCATCAAGGTGGTATGCCAGCATTAGTGTAATTTGTGTCTGACACTACTTACAGGTAAGGTTAAATAATGACTTGTGTCTATGTGCTGTGAGTTTAAGGTTGCTTTCTTGATTTAAATTCTATTTTAATTTTAATTTATTCCTCAAAACTTTGAGTCTTCTCCAGAACACATAGTAGTAAAGAAAGCTTGCTTTATTCCTTGACTCAAGTCCAGATATTCACTTCCAGTACAATGGCTTCCTCTTTGGGCTGATGCTTCTTTCTGTTGCTCGGCTGTGTCAGGTAAACCCAAGTGACTCTTGTTGATTTCTTGCCATGTGTATTTTGGGTGCATTAATTCAGTTCATGGGGCTGCTCATGTTGTGGGCAATGGTAGTGGCTTCATGTTGAGCTGTGTGAAGCTGGATGTCTGATTTTTTATTGAGTTTGTGGCAGAGAGAAAGACTTGAAACTCACCATAATTGCTTGCTGATGCTGCAATAAGAAAGCTATATTTCCCCATAAGAAAGCTATATTCAGTGTTACCTCTGAGCAATGTGGCATAATTTCTTGGCATTTTATCTTCTTCCAAATCACCAGTCCTTAGAAAACATACTTCTGAAGCTGTGAAGAGGTGATTGTGTGACGGGATAGTTCCTTGTCCATACCTCTTATGCATAACACTACTGAATTTGTAATTTGAAGTAAATACCCTTTTTAATACTGAGAATAAATGTCTCATCACCTTAGGACTACAACAGAGGATCATTAAATGTGACTACAAAGAGAAAAGCTTAGGTTTTGTTTTGTTTTCTTTCAGAAAAGGTATTTGGAGGGTGCTCTTCTTTTTGCTGTTCTTCTGCATTTCAAGCACATCTACGTGTATGTGGCCCCAGCATATGGCATTTATTTGTTACGATCCTACTGCTTTACTGCAAATAATGCAGGTAAGGTGGGGCTTTCCTCACTGGCTTTTGGGGGGAGTTGTGTTAATCACTGGAACTAGGGGAGCACTCAAGACTTGGCAGATAGAATTGGAACAAAATGGCTCAAACAAAAATTCTGCGTGAGAGCAGAATTGTTAGGATCTTGAAGAATCTTTGAAATAGATTTGGTTTGTAAAATTCCTGTTCCTTTAAGAGTTCTTTGTTAAGAAAAATCAACACGAACAAGTTGCAGGTGGCACTTGGAAGCCATAAGAATTATTCTGGCTATGGAAGAATTCGACAGTATTAGAAACTATTAGAAACTATTTCAAAGACCTTTGAGTTTCTCCCCACTTTTTAGCACTGAAACATGCCTGATACTCCTCATATGAACAGGGAAGGTAAACTCGAAAAATACTGAAAGCTTGTATAATACAGGAGCTGCAATGTGAGCAAAAGAAATACCTGCTGTTAAAGGAAGAAGCTGAATATATTGACATAAAAGGCTGTGTGCCCCTTTTAGATAGATGCTAGGAACTCCTTGTTAGTGAAGAATGCTTGGTTTGCCTTTCCAGTTCCCACAGCAGCTGTTTCTTGAATCTTTTTTTCTTGTAGATGGATCCCTGAAATGGAGAAGTTTCAGCTTTCTTCATGTAACTCTTCTGGCACTGATTGTCTGTCTTGTTTCTGCTCTTTCACTGGGACCCTTCCTAGTATTGGTAATAACCCCTTTTTCATATGTTATTCCCCTGAACAGTTAGAAAATTTTGTTGTAAAAATATAAACCATGTCTCATCTAAAGTGGCCATTTCTTTGGTCTTGTTTTCTGTAGGGTCAGCTGCCTCAAGTCATTTCACGGCTCTTCCCTTTCAAGCGAGGTCTCTGCCATGCCTATTGGGCCCCCAACTTCTGGGCTTTGTATAATGCCATGGACAAAGCACTGACAATTCTTGGTCAGTATGTTAATCTTGCTTTTTGATGCCTGTTTGCAGATAGAGCTTGCTTTATTTTAGTGCTCCCATTTGTGATGTAGGCAGTAAATTGTGTTTTCAGATTGCCATACATAGTATGGTCCATATAATCTGGTGCATGTTACCAGCAGTAGTTCAGAGATCAATTGCTTCCCTCTGCCATCCTTTGCAAAAAGAAAAAACTTGGCCATGTACTTAGTTCAGCTACTTCATTTTCTTTATTAGCATTTATCAGTTTGTGCTTTTTTTTATATTTTATTTTTAGGGTTAAAGTGCAATTTTCTTGATGGTACAAAAATCCCTAAAGCCTCCATGACAGGAGGGCTGGTTCAAGAGTTTCAGCACACTGTCCTCCCTTCAGTGACTCCACTGGCAACATTAATCTGTACTTTCATAGCTATATTGGTAAGAACACTGCTATTTTTTGAAATTTTTTCTATTTTGTCCCTAGTAGGTTTTAATTGATAGTATGCACTTCATATGAATTTTAACTCTAGGGCAACAGGTACATCGTTACTAGTATGTAGTGACTGATAAAATGTGTTTAGTGGCTTAGATTGGCAGACAATTTTTGCATGCAATACAAATAGTGGGGAGTTGGCTGTGGTCTTTCAGTCTGCTTTTCCCTCCTGATATTTCAACAAAAATCCTTCAGTCTCTTCTCATACATCCAAATGGATTGATTTTTCTCCCGTGCAATATAACGTTTGTGCCACACAAGCACAACCTGGGTGCACTGGTGTTTAGTAACATTGACAAATCTCTTTGGACAATGGCTTGTCTTCGGGATTGCCAGACTTTTCACTGAAGTCCTGTTTTTGCCTGTTGTTTCTAGCCCTCTGTTTTCTGTCTTTGGTTTAAACCTCAAGGGCCCCGAGGCTTTCTACAGTGCCTTGTTCTTTGTGCATTGAGCTCCTTCATGTTTGGCTGGCACGTGCATGAGAAAGCAATACTCCTTGCTATTCTGCCTTTAAGGTAAGCAAATGTGGTGCAAAGTACTTGGCCAAACTGAACCTGCAGCCACTTGTTGAGGAATCCTCAAAGGGAATCACTTTGTTGTCAGTATATTTCAGAAGAGGAACTCTTTCATAGAATGTCTTAAGCTGTAACAGTGTAGTGCACTTAAAATAAATTAATTTCGGGCGCAGTTCAAACCTTGATGGGTGCTATGGTTTATATTGTAAAAATGCTTGATAGATTGCTCAGGAGCCAGCTGAGGAAAGGGATCTTCTGTACTGTGCTCGACCAGAACAATAAACAGTTTCTACCAAAAGGGCTTCATGCCTGCCTAGGGTAGAACTGAAGCTGTAGTTCATAAACTGCCTGACCAGTATTGCTACAAACTGTATTTTCCTTCCTCAGAGATTTGGTGATGTTTGAGCTCTTGTTTTGTGCTGGGCCTTGCTGATAGTTTTGTTCAGTGGGTGTGTGGTTTTCTGAGGGAGGGTTTCCTGGCTGATTTTCCTCCTGTGTTTTTATCTCTGAGGCCACATGGTTTGGAAGCAGGAGACTTCATCACAGGTGCAGTGTTAGCAGGGATGGGGGTACTGTGAAACTGTTTGACTTGTTTCTGAGCCTTCAGTCAATTGTATAGTGTTCTGCTGAAATTAGGTTTCTTTGCTAAAAGACAAAAGCATAACAAATTATTGCCTTTTTAGCTTATTGTCTATTCAGAGAGCCAAGGATGCTGGCATCTACTTGATTCTGGCAACAACAGGGCATTTCTCACTTTTTCCATTGTTGTTCACAACACCAGGTAAAATGCTCTTCTATTAGTTAATTTTTGTACAATTTGCAACATAGAGCTCAATAGTCTTGATTTGGTTGTCATTTTTGCTTTAGTCACTTGCCAGTTGTTTGTGTTTTCTTTAGAAAAGGAAAATCTTATTTGTAGTGCTATCTCAGATAGTAATTATAATGTGATTATAATAATAGTAATTAATTAGATAAATTATAATAGTAATTATAACGTGTTCAGTATGTTTCTAGATAATTGAAGTACGTGTATTGCAAATGTTTGGCATTTGCTTTAGTAAATGTTTATGCTTATTTTTAGGCATGCTAAGCAGTAAAACATGTAGATCTCCAGAAAATAAAACCAGATAATGCAAGTGTGACTAGTAAGATTTAAAGATACTACAATATATATATGGCAAAAGTTTTTTATATTTAATTTTAAAAGTACATCATGTTCTTTGTTTTTCAGAACTTCCAATTAAAATACTGCTTATGCTGTTGTTTACTGTTTATAGCTTCTCTTCATTGAAATCTCTGTTCAGGTAATTAAAGAAATTTGATCTCAGTGCTAGGAACAACAACATTTCTGGTGTTGGGAACAGCCATTGTCATAAGGGACAAGCAGCACAGAAAACTGATGCTGAGGAGTCAAATTAAGGTGTTACTAGTCAAAAGATGCTGCTGCCTCTGTTCTCAGGAGGCAATGCTTAAATTAGGATTAATTCAGCACGTGCTGGTTATTGTGACAGCTGCCCAGTTAGTCCCGGGAGGCTGTAGATCCCCACCTGCCTCATGCTCTGTCAAAGCCTGGAGTTGTGGTGCTGTAACCTCTGAGGGTTTAATGTAGTATTCTAGCATTTCCTACTAGTGATTTGTCTGCAGATTGTTTATCCTATTGTACTGTGGATTTTTGCAGTATTGGTTAGTATTTTAATGTGTGGAAAGGACAGGTTGTAAATAACATTCATTTGCAAGCTGTAATTTGTCAACAAAGCTGCAAGTATTTGGTTGGCAGAACATGGAATTGCCGAAGTCACCCTGTGTAGTTCACAGCCTATGGAGCTCTTACCACTTGGCCAAAGATTAGTGCTTATCCTTGTAATCCCTGCAGTCCCCACTTCCCTCTTTCCCAAACTTTTCAGGGCAAACCCAAGCTGTAATGAAGTACTGTAAACATGTATTCAGTACCTCAGGCACCTGCTTTTGTAGGTGATTTTCTTTATTTAAGAATTCAGTCATTCTGTCTCAGGAGCTCTAGCTAAAAAACTCCATAGGAGCATAGTTTTTGTTAAGAGAGGGAGCTTTTGCAAGTTTCTTGCTTTTAACTTGCTGAAACATGAAATTCCCTTCAAACTACCTGCAGTAAACTCCTGCCAGCAATGTCCTTTGCAAGGGAGATAGCTCACAGAAAAGTCCATCCTACAGAAAGCTTGGGGGAAGAGGTTAAAAAAACCTGACATTTCCAGTCTTCTGTTGTAGAACAACTTTGGTGAAACAAGTCTTTGTATGAAGGGCTGTTCAGTTGTTTACTGAAACAGTGAGGTGAAAAGAGCAATTGATGAGTTTCTACTTAGGCTTCCAAGGCATCCTGGAACTTGATAACGATATTGAGCTGTACTCTTGGTTATCACACTGGTTTTTTCCTACTGAAACTCTTTAACTTGTTATTGAAACCATTATTGCAATCTAATGGGAGATTCTCTTTGCACTGGGATAGCTGAAAAACATAATAGTTATTTTTAGTTAACATATATTTTAACACTACCTCATTTTTAATTTCTCTGACAGGAGAGAGAAACCTCTACTTAACTGGCTTGAAACAATCTACCTCATCCAACTCGTGCCCTTGGAAATCTTCTGTGAAATCATATTTCCCCTGACCCCCTGGAAGCAGCACTTCCCTTTTGTCCCCCTGTTGCTGACCTCTGTGTACTGTGCTCTGGGAATCACATACGCTTGGCTGAAACTCTACATCTCTGTCTTGACTGAGAGAACTCCTGTCAGACAAAAGGCTGAGTAAAGCCACAGTGCTGGGACCAGTCCCAGGATACCCCTTGGAGGGGTTGTCACAGGGCCATCCAAGATGAGACACAGTGTACGTGTGCCATCACCACGTGGGAGCTCTTCTTCCAACGCTCCTGTACTGCCCAACGAGGATACCTCTGATCAGAAGCACTGTCACAGTGACAGGCAGGGCTGCTGGTAAACTGTGGAGCTTAACAAGGCCCAGACTTCTGTCCTGAGGAAAACCTGCCTCATTTTCCCATTGTGGTTTGTATTTGAATAGAAGTTGCTGTGGCAAATTACAAGGGATGATTGTTGTGTGGGAGAGCATTGTAACTGTGTTCTATGGAATATGTAAATTAAAAACTTGGTATTTTTTGTTTGAGCATTTCTTGCATTATTTTTGCTCCTGTCTAAACCCTGCTTTTGAGGGACACCCACACAACCAAGGATGTAGCGTGTAGCTGGAAACTTGTCCTGAGGTGCTTTGCACACTCAAATATCAAATTTTATAATATGTCCATGTCCTGTTCATCTCCTTGTTTCATAGATACTTTACAAATAGGTTTTCATATTCTTCTAGTAGCTGTTTTCTGTAGACCAGATGACCAAATTGAGGCATGCTACTCAAATGAAGTATTTTAACACTATTAAATGTACCAGGTAATGTGGCTGTATTAGCTGTATTTGTAGTTAAATTAAATTCTACAACTCTAACAAAAGATCAAATGTCCACAGTTCCCGTAATGACTTAAGGAAAAGGTAGGTTGTTTTTTGCCTCTGTGGAATCATGTTCCCCAAAGGATAGCATTTATTTCTGCAGTAAATAATTATACCTTTTAAGCCCTACATAACCATCCCTAAAAGATGTTGCTCTGATGTTGGGAACTGCTTTGGACTCCAGTGCTGACATAAAAGAGGGAGGAGAGAGGGGTGGATTTTTATTACTACTATGACTATTTTTGACAGTAGTTTTCGAACTTTCTTCTATGTTAGCTGAAGTACGGGAGCCCTTCATCAAGGATAGCCAAGGGGATAGTTATGCTTTTTGAGTATTTAGGGTATTTAAAATAGAGTGGCTTTTGTTAGGGCAACAGGTACATTAATCACAGTGGTTGTTTCTGTAACCAAATACTTTGTACATTTAAAGTGTTCACTGCCAGTGAGTTCATATTCAAGACATTCTCGCTCCGGTTTAAATATTTTCTCACAGTTTCTGCTTTTTTACACTATCATTGGCTTTGCCATGTTGCTGTGGCTGCCAGTGGTGCCACAATGCTTCTTGTACTTGCATTTTATCTCGGCTTCAAGCCTCAAAGCTCTGCTCAGGGTAAGGCATCCACAATGCTTGTGTTTATCTGTCTGCTGTGCTGTCCTGCGTAGGGAAATGTTAATATGCAAAAAAAACCCTACAAACACCCCTCTTGGCTCTTCCCCAGCCATGCCTTTGCATATCCTGAAATCCTCCAAAAAGAAGCCACAAGGCAAAGCTGTGGGTGTGCCATCCCTTAAAGTGTTCAAAGCTGGGTTGGATGGAGCAACCTGGTCCAGTGGAAGTTCTCCCTGCCTGTGGCAGAGTGCTGGGAGTAGATGACCATTTAGGGTCCCTTCCAACCCAAACCATTCCGTGATTCTGTGAAGTTAAGCCTGTGACTGTGGAAGTGGCTGTGCATCACCATTGTACAATCCCAGTGATCCCAGGTTCAACTGAAGCATCTCCCACTGCAGAGCAGCAATGCCCAACCTCCTCCTGTGCAGATGTCAGGAAAATCCACTAACACCAGAGGTTTATGCCCAACAAGGAGACAGAGGAGTCCTTCAGCTTTGTTTGAATTAAGGGGGGAGTCTGCTGGGGCGCACACCCGCAGGGTTTTCTCTCTCAGGGTTTTGGAGGGCGCAGCCTCCCTTGATCCTAAACTCCAAGCCTCACCTTTCCCTCTTCCTTTCCCCATTGCTGAGGCATTGGGAAGGTGCAGCCTTCCCGAACCGCCTACCTCACATTGCCCCCTTGAACCTGCTGTGCTACCCCAAAGCTCAGGAGTTCAGGCTTGTGCAGCCCTTGTCTGCTTCAGGGGCCAAGGTGCCAGAGCTCTGCAACAAACCTGCGGCCTAAGTCAGTAGAGACATTAACACCCATTGCAAAGATGTTAACACCCACACTTCACCCATCAAACTCTTTGTAAAGACATGAGCTTTCCTCTCATGGACAAAGGCTAAATTATACATTTTTAGGAAAGAGTTTGAGGAGCCTTTGGGACCTGTGATGTTTTGTTAATGCAGGTTACTTTAACGGGTCTGTCAATCTTGCTACAGTGGCAAATGATTTAATGTGATTTCATATTAATTAAAAACGAAAAAACTAACACTATGGGTTAGGTATCAGACTTTAATCTGAGCTCTGAAAATTAATTGCGTTCGATTTTAGTGCTTAATTAATCCCCTAATTTACTTCCCGGCCGGCCTCGCTGGCCCTGCAGCGGGGCCGGCTCACCCAGTGGGGTTCGGGCTCCAGGAACCCCCTCCCCGAACCGGCTAAGGCCGCTCAGCCTCGGGGTTTGGGGTGGGGATGGCTTTGTGGGGTGGGGAGTTGGATTTGGGGGTGGGTTTTTGGGAAAATAGCCGTAAGCGGGGAAGGCAGCGGAACCCCGGAGCACGGCGCAGGCCGGCGGGGGAAGGCGCTGCCGCCGCACCGCTCCCCCCGGTCACCTTCGGCGGGCGGCAGCCATGGTGTTCCTGCCCGACGAGTCGCGGTCGCTGCCGCCGCCGCCGCTGCTCAACAAGGGCTCGGTGTGGCTCGGCTTCGCGGGGTGGATGTCGGCGCTGTTGGACAACGCCTTCAACCATCGCCCCGTCTTCGGAGCCGGTGCGGGGGGACGGGGGAACCTGAGGGGAGGGGGAACGGAGCGGGGTGCGAGGGAAGGGAGGAGGTGAGGAGCTGGGGAAAGGGCTATGTGGGGTTTGGGGTCTCTGAGGGATAAATGAAGGGAAAAAGGGGAAGCAGCTAAGGAATGAGAAACTGCAGAGGAAATGGGGGCGGGCGGGCGGATTTGGGGTGACCTTGAGGGTCACAGGGGCTGGGGCTGGGGAGGAAGCCCCGAGATCCAAGGCTAGGGGGGGGTAAAGGGAATATGTGGGCCTGGGAAAGGGGGGTGTGGGATTTGGGGTGACCGAGGGGGATGTAGGGGCTGGGGAAGGGGAGGGAGCGCTGAGGTAAGGGAATGGGGAGATAGAGGGAGTATGTGGGCCTGGGGAAGGGTGTGGGGGGCTTGGGGTCACTGAGGGATAAATGAAGCGGGGAAGGCAAAAGAGGGAGCCCTGAGTTCGGGGGGCTGTTGGAGGGGAAGGGAGTTCTCCGTGTGATTGTGGGGATGGGAGTCAAGGGCTGGGAGCCCTGAGGTGAGGGATTTGGGGAACTGGAAGGGGCTGGGAAAGGGACATCCCTTGGAGGTGGAGGGGATCTGAGGTGACTCCCTGAGGGTGGTGGGAAGGGGAGGGAGCCCTGAGGAAAGAGGGGCCTGGCAGGGGCCATGGGAGCTGTGGGTACTGCAGGGACCTTGGCAGGGGCAAAGCAGGGAGAGAGGAATGAGTGCCTGGGGGCCTGGGGAAAGGCGGAGAGCTGGGAGAGCTGGGGACAGTTCCTCTCTCCTCCTGCTGCAGGCATCCACCGGCAGGTCCTGTTGGCTACCCTGGGCTGCGTTGTGGGCTACCACCTGGTGAAACGCGCCGAGTACGTGCATGCCAAGGTGGATAGGGAGCTGTGCGAGTACATCAGGCACCATCCAGAGGACTTCCGGCGATCAACAGGTACCCTCAGCTGGCATTTTAGGAGAGACCTCAGCCTGCCATAACCTATGTGCAAAGATTTTGCTGGTCTAAGGCCTCCCTGCTCCTTCACAATCTAAATTGCAGCAGGCTAAAGGATTTTCTAATGTGAAAATAGATATTGTTATTGAGCTGTTAATAACGCATCAATGACCGCCTCTTGCTCCTAAAAGCTCGTTTTAGTATAAAAGTAGCAGAGCCAAAAAAAAAAAAAAAAAAAAAGGATAGACCAAACTTATACCACTGAAGAAGAAATAATGGAAATTAGAAATCACAGGTTTTATTCTTGTAACTTCACAATTGTACTGCCTGTTCCTGTAAAATGCCTGTTGCATGTAGATTCAGAAATCTCATTATTCAGAAAAAAAGCAGAACAAGTGAAAAAAGAATAAATAAGGATGGCAGGAAACCTGAATTGGTGTTGGCTTAGAGCAATGGTGAAGAACAGGGTTTTTTTTACTAAACATAGTCACTGAGCCCAATGATGCAATGGCAAATTTGGGTGAAAATTGTCCATTTTCTAGTACAGTAGAGTTGGGTGACTCTGGCAGTTGGATTGTGGTCTGCATCATGCCATGTTGGAAGAAGTATGTAGAAATAAAAAGCTGTAACTACTGAGATTCCTCCACAGCAACCTGTAGAGCAGTATGGGGCAAAAAAAAAAATTGTGCATTTAGTTACAAGAGTAGCTAATAGTTTGCTGTGGGTAGCAAAAATCAGACTTTCGGTGGCTCTGTTAACATCAAAGATTTAATATGAAACATCTGGATCGACCTCAAATGCTGATTAGGTTTTCCCACCTCTTGCAGGAAAGAAAAGAATAGGGCAGCTCTTGGAGGATTTCCAGCCAGTTCGCTGAGTGGTGACACATCACAGAATGAATTCCTGCCATCCTGAGAAATTCAGCAAGGTGGCTGCAACTCTTGAACCGTCCATGGCTTAAAAGATGAAACTTTACTCACTTTCATTTAATAAAAGCTTGACTAAATAGTTATTGTTTAATTATTTGCTCTTCTGTTCCTTTATGGTTTGTCAGTACATGGATGACTGATACTTGTAACTGAATAATAATTTTGATTGATGTTTTTTTCAGTTGTTTTAATTGCAGGAATAGAAAGTTGTTCACACAACATATATTGTATAAATCCCAGAGAGCAGTTCTGTAAGTTCATATGTTTTATTTCTCAGTGGCATTTCTCCTGACCCTTGAACATGTTCTTGGCCAGCCCCT